CACTGAGATCAGAAACAGTGAAACAAGACAATGTTTAAATCGGCAATTTGGCTGAAGTTACAAAAGGTCGTATATATTTCACTCATATTTATATATCAATTTCATGTTCTTAATCAGTAGTTGGCTTTCCTTCCATGAGTAGTTTTGCGCCTGAAGTTTCAACTATTAAATTCAGGGCTAGGAAAGAAAACCCACTTTGTATATGTGTTCCTACTTCGATTTTTTTTAAAAAAAGGACTCCAAAAACACAAAAATAATTATATTTCCACCATGAGTCAATCTATTATCATAATCCAGAGTAACTTTCTGGATGAAATAATTGAGGTCACAGGAGCAACCTTTGAGGAATTCTGATTTAGCGCTGTGAGTATTGTATACAAGTTTTTGCAAATGAATAATCTATGAATAGCTACTGAATCACCACCTTTGGTTATGAGCCATTCAAAAAATTAAAGAGAACAGCCTGCAGGTATTTGTTAATATTTTTCCCAACACATGAGTTAATAATAATCAAGATAAGCCTTTGAAATAGGAAAATACCTTTTTAAATTAATTTCACATTCTCATATCATTCTGCTGTTAAATATATGGATTCGCTAGAAGTTTAAGAGGAAAGTAGCAGCAAATTAAAATAGCTGTCTTTTTTTTTTTTTTAATTTACTGGATATATAAGCTCCTCCAACTGACTCTGAGCAGGCTATTATTTCCTTTTCAAAAAATATTTGTACTGACTGATCTTTCATACAATACGGAATGAGAGGTATTTCCATAATGCAATTTACTCAAAAATAAATATTTCTGTGATCAGGAGTCATTCCGAACAAAACATTTGAAGAACTACAACTTTCTAAGAGTTTTGAATTCTTGTTTGTTTTAATTAATTACATGCATGGTAGTTTGAGACTTACGTGTGCCATTTAACTTGAAATTTCTAACAGATTACTTATCTATTTTAATGGGACTTTTATTTTATACTTTTCTTTCATTTTATGGGATTTCTCAAAGATCAGGATGTGAGCAAATGCAAATTAATAGGAGGTCTTGCCTGTGAATTCCTAATAAGCAACTCTTGGTTAGAAATTCTTGGCTTGAATGGAAAATGAGGGGGAAATTGATATAAAATATGAATGACAATATAATATTGTTATAAGGCAATTGTAAAGTGGAATTTGTCAATGCCTTTAAGCACTTCCCTAACATTTCAATTAATTGTACATTGCATTCCTACATGGCATGTTTTGCCTGAATGAGCTATAGAGAATCCAATTATTTTCAGAGAATGGAACTGGAGATTCCCAAAAGATAAGAATCTTTTGAGAGAGGGCAGTTGGAAATATTTTAGCCAAATTTTGCACTAATTCTTTTAGATGTAAGTCACCCTGAATTTGGTGGTACTTACCTCTTTTTAATATACATGACTGAAATCTAGGCGTACTTTATAAACTAAACTTCCTTATCATATGGGAGTAGATAGATTTAAATTAAACCCAGAGAGATACGCCTTTCGAAAGAATGCCTGCCCAATAACTTTCTGCTTTTGTTTTAAACATTATTTGTCATGAAAATGTTTTGCTACTCGTGTTACGATCGATGCAGTTTATTGAGATCTGCATTAATGATAACATACTTAATCTACACATGGGGTGCTTGGTGAAATAACCACACGCAATTTCCAATTCTTGGCGCTTTCTTTTTGAGACAAACTTAACGATTTTGGTTTTTAGCACAAGTGACAGCATCAAAGAAAGAAAAACCTGAAAATGTCACAATTTTCTTTTAAATGTTATGTTTAAAAGCAACCTACACACCATTAAATGTCAGCGCAATCTCTTATTTTAGAGACAGGAGAACATCTGTTCTATTAAAATGGGATTTAAAAATACTAATTTTACTGATTGGAGTTACACTGTCAGGAGTTTTGCCATTGGTTTTACCGGAGTAGAACAGGTAAGAGTAAGACTGCAGATATTCAAAGCAAACAGGGCTTATTTCAAAATGTTATAGTCACTGTGCCAATAAGTTGCACTTGATTGGCTAAATATATTATATAACTTTTCTCCATCCTAAAGTATTTATTACACAACAGCTCTGTTTGCTACTTGGTAAAATTTATGCAATCATTAGGAGGATTCGGTATGAAAACCTGTGGCATGCACCACAGTCAATGTTAAATGATTTCTAAATACAACTTTAGTCGGCAAACAATTGAAAAAATTCCCCCTTGATCAAATTGGGATTAGTATGATTTTCGGTTCCATTAAAATCAATGCACTTTTTGAATACATTCTCATTTCTTGTCCCAAAGGGGGGAAAAGGGATTAAAATATTTCCCTGATTCTCTGAATACACACTCACTGATTTTCAGGGACAGAATATTCCCTAATGAATTATTTTAGAAAAATGTGGAGAAATTGGCCTGGGTGGCTTCATGTTAAATGAAATATATTTGCCCTCCAAAGATTTAAGTGAACTGAATCTTGCAGTTTAATCCTTGTGTAAAGTATCAGTGAGTTTATTTCACATTTAAATCATAGGCATGTCAACTGATCAACCTTTACACCCAGTGTTTGCAAGATCATTGTAACTAATCAGTTTCTATTTCAGTTAATCTTATTTCCTAACAAGGAAATAAGTTGCAATCGTCTTGGAATTGGATTACATCCTAGAAGACAATGGGACACTTTATTTATTATATAGAAATCCCACACGTCTTTCAAAGCAACAAAGCGCCTCTTTATATTTTAACCTGATGTTAACTGCAGATTAAATTAAGCCAGGCAAAAGGTTGAATTCACACATTTTCCTTGATCTTGCCTTGAAAGGGATGTGTGAACCCAACCTTTGTGATTTATAAATCTCAGTTTATGTCTTTAACCCAACAATTTGGGGTTGATTTAGCAGAATGGCTTAATAGGATACCTGAATTCGAGTTTTATTGATTTGTCATTCTAATAATCTTCAGAATTAGGGGAAAAATGCATTTCAGCATGGCTCAGCATGAAAAAAAAAAGCCCAGGCATGGTGCAATATTAATATGAGAGCAAGAAATGGTGTGCATAAGCTCACCAGTGTGCCTACCGTCCCTTCTAAATGTTCCCTTTTATTTATATCCATTTCATGTATTAATAATCATGTTTATACTGATATCTGTTATCTAACACATGCTGGACAAAATAAATAAAATAAAAATGGAATTGGAGCGTCAACTTTTGAAACAAGATAAGCGTCTCTTTGCAAACAGCTACAGGAGAACCATGCTAGAGGTCCTACTTCTGACCACACATAAAGAAGTTTTTGTTTAGGATTGGAAAAGAGAAGATTTCATGAAAGAAGATTAGTCTTCAAGGACTACAGCTGTAACAGGAATGCCTCTTCCGGTCCAATCCAAAGCTGTCTCATCACTCTTGTCAAGATCTCTAATTGTTAAAAAAATACTGGGAAAGCTGACTGTTTTATGGGAAGGAAATGAAAAGAATTCTCCCAAATGAGCTTTTTTTAAAAAAGGCAACTGTCTTTGTTTTTGCTTGGAGACATTTCTCTCCTCATCCAAGAAGCTCCTTCACGTCTTCAGTTCAGAACCGAAGAAACTTCTTGGATAAGAAGCAAAACGTCTTCAAGGAAAGACAAAGTCCAGTTGCCTTTTGAAAATGCACCTCTGGGACAACCATTACCAGGATGACTGAGAATCTCCATAGACAAAACAATTCTCCCTATTTTAGCCCCAAGATCACAAACCTGCACAGCTTAACAATCAACCCCTATCTGCTGTTCTGCGTATAATCACAGAGCAGGACTCTTGGGTTGCTCCTCTCAGCATAGGAACTCAACTTTGGAAGACAAGTGTATGTAGTAAGTAACTACTGTGTATTGTAAGCAGCCCCATCTGAAAATCTGAGCTCCTAATAGCACTTGGAAGTGTTTATCCAATTCACCTTCCTTCCCTAAACCCTTCTCCTGGGTATTGTTTCTGGGTTCTTTTTGGATCCGGAAGACAGTTGCCTGCCTGTCAAAAGAGAAAGACAAATGCAAGACAGGATACCCTTCCATTATGGGCACCAACGGTTGCCACTTTCTGCCTTTGAAGTCATAGGAAGTATAACAGGGTAAGTGACAATTGGGAGACATTTGCTTGCCGAGTATTTGAGAACCAGGCCTTATTGGGAATTATTTGCTCGATTGATCTGCCCTAGTCAGCGGGCTGGTTTCTAAAGTTCCTTCTCACACTCGGATCTTAGTTTCGGGACTGGAATGGGGGAGGAGAGCAGCCGAAACTTTCTCTGAAACACAGATAATCTCTCCCCTTGCTGATCCCGAATCCTTGGCGCAATCTTAAATCCCGCTTTGAGAGAGACTTACCCTTAATATTGTGTGTGTGTGTGTGTGTGTGTGTGTGTGTGTGAAACTTTCTTTGCCCCTGGTAAAATTCAAAGGGGGACGCCTACAACCGACTGAATATTAGTTTCAGGTAAGTCTATGTCCCCCCCACAAACGCACCTGGTTTGGTTCTCAAGGGTTTTACAGCTGGACAAGTACTAGGACAAATCCTGGCTATGCCACTTCCCATTAAAAGCCTCCGTTGCTTTAAAGGCCACAAACGTTAGCATTCAACAGCGACAGTGTCCCTAAAGACGCATTTCTAAGGGAAGAGTTTTGCGGCTTCTTTGGCAAACAATTTGGAGACAGAGAGGAGGAGGGAAGGGGGAGAGGGAGAGGAAGGAACAAATAGAAGGAAGGAAGGAAGGAAGGAAGGAAGGAAGGAAGGAAGGAAGGAAGGAAGGAAGGAAGGAAGGAAGGAAGGAAGGAAAGGAAATTGAGAGAAAGGCAAGGAAGGGAAGGGAAAAAGAGAAAGGGAATTAAGAGAGGAGGGGAGAGGTCTCCATCCACCCTTAAGCTTCCTTTTGCCTGCACCCCGAGAGGCAGGATCAAAGCGCCGCAGCCAGGCTGTCCCCACCCCGCCAGCTTCGTCCTTCTCGAGAGCTGGGAAAGCGAAGGGCTCTTACCGGTGCAGGAGTGCAAAGCTTTGGGTCGGACGACCAGAGAAGGGCAGACGGAGTAGAGCGAGAGCTTCTCGAAGTAGTCGCACGTCTCCTTGGAGAGGATCTCGTCGATCATGAAGGTCTTGTAGCGCCGCCTGGCTGCTTTCAGCTGCTGCCCGGGCGAAGGCAGCCGGAGCCCGCCTTGGCAGTGCATGGCCGAGGGTATAAGCTCGGAGAGACCGCCGGACCTCGGGAAGTGAGAGAAGGAGAAGAAAACCCCGGCAAAAGGCGGCCAGGCGAGGCGAGGCGCGGCGCGGCCACCCGGCCGCTGGGATCAGCAACAGGCGGTCGCCGGGATCCAGTGATCCTTCCTTCCTTCCTTCCTTCCTGCCTGCCTGCCTGCCTGCTTCGCTCCTAGAGTTCACTCTCTGCCTTGCTTGCCTGCCCGCCCGCCCGCCGCGATCTCCTCCTGCCTTCCCCACCTCCAGCCTCTATATAAGCCTCGGAAAGAGCCGCGCAACCCAGCCCCGCTCGGAACACCCCAGCTGTCAATCAAAAGCGCCTATCATCCGCAGCGACCCCATCGTTCGACCGCGGGCTGTGCGGGAGAGCGAGTCACCTCTCTATTTTAAGAATCCGAGGTGTGGATTGGCTTCGCTTCCCTTCTTCCATCTGGAAGAAGGCCCAGGGGCTGGGGTTAGGCTTGGCAGCGCTAAGCGTGCGTGGGTGTGCGCGCGCGCGCGTACATGTGTAAGAGAGGATCCGCTTCTCCGCCTCTTCTTGCATCCTCCCTGCCGCTTTTTGCAGCAGAAGTTGGAAGAAAGAGAAACGAACTTTTACAGTCTCCTCTTCTCCCTCAGGAAGTCCTGCTGGACTTCGGTAGTCGGTCCCAAAAGGAAGCAGAATCCGAATTATGCCAAGCCACAAATAGGCGGCAGTCGGTAGCTCTGAGAGCACCCCGTTCTGCCTTCTGGCGGAACACCCCTACTCTCTCAAGGGACCCTAACCTCAAGCGAAGTTCAACACGGGGTCCTGGCCTAACCGAGATAAATATAACGCCCAGGGGGTTGACAGGTGCCCTGACTGTGATCCGGTCCCGTTTCAGTGCTTTTTGGGTGGGCCGGTTAATATTTGCTTCTCAGCAAACGTGCGCAGGTCACAAAGGGATGGAAGACTTGCAGGAATGGTTGGGAACGCCGTTTTGGCTGAGATCTTCGGCCCGAGTCCGCTAGAGGAAGATAACCTTAGCCGGAGCATCAGATGGTGTCTGAGTACGTGAAGGTTGTGTTTGGAATGGAAACATCGCATTCTTTGTTCTTAAGGATATCCTAGCAAATAACCATAGTACTTTATAGCATTGTGTACACACATAGAGAGAGAGAGGAGACAGAGAGAGAAGAGAGAGGAAGAGAGAGAAGAGAGAGGAGGGAGAGGAAGAGAGAGAAGAGAGAGGAGAGAGAGAAAAGAGAGAGAAGAGAGAGAGAAGAGAAAGACTGCGATTCTAAAAGACTCATATTAGCCACAATGGGCTCTAAGGTTAACAGGCTTCATTGTGAAATACCTCAAGGGAGGCCAACAACAAGGATGAGGATGCGCCCAGGCGCAATCCTACACCTGTCTGCTAAGGCTTACTGAGCTTGGAGGGGCCCGACTTCGTAGACTTGGACAAAGAATGACACGAGACATCTTTTCCCACCCACTGACTGATCCAACGACCCAACTTTTAGCCGAGTCGGGATACTGAATGTGTGCTCCAATCAGCCGAAATCAAGAGACTCAAGTTCAGAACATTTGCAAAACCAGCTTGAATTTTATTCGGCTTCCTAGGATTTCCTTCCTACTACTAGTGCGAGGATCGCAACTGGAATTCCTTTCTTTTGCCTTTCCTTCTTTCTCTCCCTTTCTCTCTCTCTCTCTCCCTTTCTCTCCCTCCCTCCATCCCTCCCTCTCCCACTCTCTCTCGTCTGCTGCCCTTTTAGGCTTATGTACATTGTCAGAGTTCTTCTCCTGGATTTTCGATTTCCACGAAGGAGCTGCCGGGTGCAAAAGCGGTGTGAAAAGTGAACCGAAGTGAGTTCTCGCGCGCTCCCGCAAAAAAACCTCCCTTCCTTGGGGAGGGAAAGAGCCCCAGTAGCCGATTCAGTCCATCTCCAACTTCAGGAGCTTCAGGCAGGTGTGAAGCCAAATCTCAACAGGCTTCAGGCTTCGTTTCTTTCCCCGGCTCTCGGCTGGCCGCACGGAATTGGGCTTTTGACAAGCGCGCCTCTTCCCTCCCGCAGGGGCTTCGGATCCGGGACTTTTTGCAAAGTATTTGGACTTTTGGGAGGTTCTTTAAGGGTGCGGCTCCCTCTCGTAGCACCCCGGGACCGGGAACTATTCCCCCCTTCCCTTATATATGACATGCAAGAGAAATAGTCCGCTAATCGCGAACCTGGGAGGAAAAACTAGTCCCTCTTCAAGTTATTCCCGGGCTTGTTTAGCGGTCCGATTAAACTGGCGAGTGCGCTTTTGGGGGTCCGCTTTGGACGGGACCCCCAAGAGATGCGGTCAGGGACAATTTTTAATCCCTCTTGGAGAACACCCTGGAGTTTTGTGGACGGAGCGATTCCTCCTCTATCTCCCCTCCACTTCCTCCGGGTAGAAGCCAGCGGACTCCCCAGCAACTCGCACCTCACCGCCTTCCCACCGCCGCAGAGAAATCCCGACACCTCGTATTTCTCGCGCTCCGCTCGCCGTCTCCGCTCCGCGCGCCGCACGAGCTCCTTGCAGTATTTTCCCCCAAAGCATTTTGCACTATAGAAGACCGAGTTTTTCCAGCCGTTCCCCGCTTCTTGAATGTTTTCCCCCGCGCACCCACTCAAATTCTCTCGTCCTCGCACCCATTCTCGCCCTTCTTTGATCCCGCTTGGCAGCCTGCAGGCTTGGACGCCCTTCCTTCTTCCTCTCGCATTTTTCTATCGAAAACTTTCTAAAAACACCTCCCGGTCAGAAAAATAGTCCTCCGCTCTCCAGGAGCAAACGAGGGAGGGGAAAAAAAATGTCGTTTTTCCAGGGTGAATAGTATTTTATTCAAAAACAAAACAAAACAAAACAAAATTTAAGCTCTTCTAATTTCGATCTTATAACATCTCCAGTATGCCTGCATATTTCCATATCTAGACAGTATATATCTATAATTCATTTGATTTCTTTCCCCGTGGTAAAACCTGCAGTAACCCACATTTAGGGAACAATTCCGTGTCGTTCGCGACGGAGTCACTAACAATAAACCTGTTTCTGCACTTGGGTGAAGGACAAGGAAGCGGTGCCCCCCCCTTCCTTTTCTTAGTTTTTTGCTGAACCGGAGGAACATCTGCCTGTTCGTTCCTTATTTTAACACTTGTGTAATTCTGCTCCTCCCAGTCCAGTCCAGCCTTCGTTTACTTAGCCTGGAATCCTGGCACAAAGGAATCAAATTTACAAACTTTCATACAATTAAATCAGAAGAGAAGATACAACATGAACTAATAACTGTCCGATCCAAACAGACAGACATCTGCCCCACAACACGCATGACATGACTATTGTGGGAAAGGAAAGGAAAGGGGAAAAAAAAAAACTGGTTCATTGATATTGCAATACCAGGTGATGCAGGAATTGAAGAGAAACAGCTAGGGGGGAAAAGTAACAAAACATCGTGATTTCCACACTGAAGTTGAGCGATTGCGGAGAAAGAATTCGACAGTTGTACCAATTGTAATAGGAGCCCTCGGAACAATACCCAAAGGGCTGCCTAGATATGTGGAATTTTGAACTTATCAGACCTGAATATTCTGACTTTGCAAAGAAACATCTTACTCAGAACTGCCTACAGATAGATCGATAGATCGATAGACAGATATAGATATAGATTAGATATAGATATATAGGTATATAGGTATATAGGTATATAGATATATATACTCAGACGTTATCTTAACAGCACTTAGCTCCTCGGTCAGGACTTGAACTGTTAAGGTTTATCAGCCCCAGACTGGTAAAAACTGGCGAATCGAATCAAAGATTAAATCAATAATATTAATAACATTAATAACAATAATAACAACAATCTAGGATGCTGGAAGCAACTCGTATCAACCATCAGCGCCAGTCAATATTTGTGACACATTTTTAAATGTTCAGTTGACTGAGTTTCATGTTTAATGAATAAAAGAGATAACAGCCACAACCACAACCACAACCATAACAACCACAACAACCATAACCACAACCACAGCAACAATAATAATAATAATAATAATAATAATAATAATAATAATAATAATAATAATAATAATAATAATAAAGGCTACCCATTTAAGGCAGTTAGGAATAACGACTGAAATTAATTTAAAAAAATCGGGAAGAAGCCTAAAGAGCTTCTTTATAATCAGAGGTTATAGAGGAATCTCTCAAGGTTGTGTGTACTTAAGACAATTGACTATCAGAAAGAGAGGAAATGACGCAGACCTTCGAGACACAGATTCACCGGGTTGCACCAACCCAAACCCAACACAGCGGAGACCGAGTGGCCCCTTATGTGTATTTGTGCCCGCTTTGCCGGTGTGCAAAATTCAGCAACTCCGGTGCAAAAGACCCAACACAGCCGGGAAAAGACACAGCGCACAGGGGAAAAGGAATTGCAGAATCCTTCGAGACTTAGTTAACTCCCATTGACCTCAATGGGATGTATTCCTGGGAAAAGCGACGTGCGCGCGATTCCTTGCTTTCCTTGCTTCGGAAGCAGGCGCTGAGGATCCCCCTCCCCCCCACCCCGTTGGCCTCCTTATTTCAGACCGGTCAATCCACGGCTCAGTCTGTCGGATTCGCTTTAAAAGAACCACCTGCCTTCAAACCTGCAGCCAACAGTTAACAAAGCGGGATTCATAAAGTGGGTGTAAAAAAAAAAAAACCCCAGTTCCTCTTTCAACCGCAGAGTCTTTGAAATCGGTGCTGTTAAATGAAGGGCACAGAGTGCCATCCTAAAGCCCCAATCGATGCTTGAAAGAAATGGATAAGACCCTATAGAATAGAATATAGAATAGAATTCTTTATTGGCCAAGTGTGATTGGACACACACGGAATTTGTCTTTGGTGCATATGCCCTCAGTGTACATAAGAACAAATAAAAGACATTCATCAAGAATCATAAGATACAACACTTAGTGATAGTCATAAAGGTAAAAAAACAAGCAATCAAGCCATACTAGGAAACAAATAAAACATGAATTGTAAAGATACAAGCAACACGGTTATACTCATAAGCGGGTAGAGATAGGTAATAGGAAGGATGAGAACAATAATAGTAATACAGTTTTACTAAGTAGTTTGACAGTGTTGTTGGAATTAGTTGTTTAGCAGAGTGATGGCATTCGGGGAGAAAAACTGTCCTTGTGTCTAGTTGTTCTGGTGTTCAGTGCCCTATAGCATCATTCTGAGGGTAGAAGTTGAAACTGTTTATGTCCAGGATGTGAGGGGTCTATAGATACGTTCACAGCCCTCTTTTTGACTCTTTGCAGCATACAGGTGCTTAATAGAAGGCAGGTTGGTAGCACCTTCCAACTCTGTCTATCTGTTATACTTTGCCAGTTGTTTTTTCTGCAGTCCTAATTATCCTCTGAAGTTTGTGTCTGTCCTGTTGGGTTGCAGAACCAAACCAGACCGTTATAGAGGTGCAGATGAC